CCCACTGAAACCATTTTTGTAAGTTTTGATCGACTTACATCTTCACAACTAAAACGACTACGGAGGTTGAAAGAAAGAATGTACAAGGAGAAGAACTCAAATGAAGTTCGTAAGCTAAATGGTCTGATAAACCTAGAGATTAGACGTCTCAACTGCATGTTTACTCAAAAACTCTTATCTTGCAAAAACTCTACAAGTATGTGGAAATTCTTTAAAGAACTTACAGGTGACAGAAAGTTTAGAAGCGATAACCAGCTGAATGTTTGTGACTTAAATAAGTCTTTTGTACGTCAGTCATCTGATGTGATGCTCCCTCTATCCACGGGTTTAAAAACTAGCTGTGTTCATACTTTCACTGAAACTGATGTACGAGGATGTCTCCAGTCGCTTAATTCATCTCGATGTTTGGGTCCTGATGGTATCCCAAACATCCTTTTTAAAAAATGTGCTGACGTTCTGTGTCATCCGTTCACAACTATATTTAACAGATCTTTCTCATCTAATCTCATACCAAAAATGTGGAGAAAGATGAAGATAATTCCTGTACCCAAGAAAGCATTTGATGATAAGAATGTAAAATTTAGACCTATTGCAATAACTTCACCTTTCCTCAAAACCATGGAAAAATTATTAATACTTCCACTTCAGCCTGCGATAAAAGGGCATACTGACCCATACCAGTTTGCATACAGGCGCAAAAGAAGCACTTTAGATGCTGTTGCAGTTCTGCATCACAACATAGTGTTCAACTTAGAAAAGCGTAAGAACTATGTTCGATGTGCTTTTCTAGACTACACTTCAGCTTTTGACTCTATACCAAGACAACGTTTACTTAACAAGTTAATCAGCGTCAACACTGACAGCTGGATAACCAACTGGCTGTGTTCCTACCTCTCTGGAAGGGAACAGTACACTGTGTTTGGAGGAAAGAGTTCAGATTCTCTACTGTCTCGGGAAGGTGTACCACAAGGAGCTGTTCTTTCACCTCTTCTATTCTCTTTTTTTCTGCATGACCTGCCATCTTCCACAGAAAACACTTTTGTGAAGTATGCGGATGATCTCACTGTATGTATGCCTATATCTTCTTCTTTACATCCCATAGAAATGAATGAGTTTTTGTCTCGTATTGATTGTTGGTCTGTTGGTAATGGTCTCATACTTAATCCATCTAAATGTCAAGCTGTTAACTTTAGTATGAGACATGAACGGAATATAAACACTATTTTGAGATCCCATAGTGCTTGTACCATCGGAGACTCTTTGATAAACGCGGTGTCGAAGGTCAATTATCTTGGTGTCACCTTTTCCTTTGATCTGTCTTGGTCTTCCCACGTTTTATCGTTATCAAAGAAGGTTTTCCGTCTGACCTACTACATAAAGAGATTGCATGCTCTTGGAATTACTCGTCATTTTCTCTTACAATTTGTCAATTCTTGCATATTACCTATTATTCTTTACTGTTCTCCATTATTCTTTCCCGGGCTTTTGAGGAAAGACTTTGCTGTATTGTGGAGAGTACTAAAGGCAGTTAGTAAGACGTGTGGTGAATCTTTCGAGGTCATAATTAATATGATTGTGGATAGACATTTAAAATCATGCAAACTCCTGGCAGGTATTATTTTATCAGATACTAGCCATCCCTTTCACTCGTATCTTTCTCCTTGTATATCTTCTGGTAGAACGAGAAGTAATTACATTAAAATCCTTGCACGCAAGGAAAAGTATAAAAGTTCTATAATACCTTACCTAGCAAATATACTCTGTGACGAACAGGTTGTTAGAATTAACCTAGTCAATAACTTACATTCTTAACATGTCTTTAATTTTAAAAGTTTGTAGTTTCTTTTGGGTTTTTTTTATTTTATTTTATTTTTATTTTATATATTTCTTTATGTATTCGCTACTGCCTTTTGTTCGTTGTTCAGTAAGTAACTTGTTGAAATACCCTGTGCTGAGAATTCTATATTGTACCAAAATATAATATTGAATAAAGCCATTAATAATAATAATAATAATACCTTATATGACCCTGCTAAATGTTTCATATGCCGGAGTAATTGCGAAGGTCTCTTGTCCCCCAATTCGCAAGACATTAGCAGCTGATGCAGTCTTCTCTCGTCTGAAACAGAAGTGCGTTGGATTACGGCTGTCTTTATCTTATCATAAGGTTCTGATTCTGGTACATGGTCAATCAAGTCTCCTACTTCAGCAGCAATCTCTATGGGGAGTGCACCAACTACATATGCATACTTTGTTGCCTGTGATCGTATGCCTCGTGCTATAAATAATGCGTCGACTTGTGCAAACCAGATTCTGGGATTATTTACACCGTACGTTGGTAATCTTAACTCTGAAATTGCGTTGATCGAGTTTAAAGAATTATCTTCTGGTTATGAAGAGTTCAAGGGGTTGATCAGTGGACTATCTATATTTATGAGTTTACCAGGAGAGTTCATGATGACAAAAACAAAAAAATATGGTGTGTCGTACCAAGTGATAATAATTATTAAAAAAATATGTAGATATATATAGTAAATGTCAGTCATATCTCCACAATAGTATCTACTCATATAGTTCCATACATTAAATGCAGTACTCACTAACCTAGTCGACGAAGCAGAAATTCCGAAAACAATATCTAACATATACCAGCTATAGAACCTGTCCATGTGATTGGTGAAACTGATCTTCAGTTGATGAGTAACCTCAGACTAAGTAAGATGGGCAACATCTACGGTCGCTGTCATCTCTAAAGGACATTATTTCAAAGTCACTCACGATACGCTTCAACATGACCCTTCTATATATTATTATTATTATTATTATTAATGGTTTTATTCAATATTATCTTTTTGGTACAATATAGAATTATCAGCTACCTAAGGATTGTAAAGATGGTATAGTTAGTCCTACATTTGTATCTAACTACAGACCTGTTAGTCTAGCATAGTAGTTAAGTCATCTAAACAGATAATACGGGCTAAGTTACAAAGTCACATAAAATCATACATTCTATTGGCTCCTGAGCAACACAGGTTTCTAAACAAGCATTCATGCTTGGCCAACTTAGTTATTGAGAGAGAGGATTGGATGGCAGCCCTAGATAATGTTCAGACTGTTGGTGTGATATTCATGAACTTCAGCAAAGCATTTAACAAGGTCTTATGCAACAGCTCACGAGCCTCAGAATAACAGTTGCTGTATAGAAATGAGTAAGAAGCTTTCTATGTGACCAAAGACAAAGAGTGGAGGTAGGTAGGACACTATTTGAATGACCACCGGTCAAAAAGGGTTATCCCTTGGTATTATCTTAAGTCCCCTACCTTTCATTTTCTACGTCAGTGAATTTCCGCTGTGGCTAAAGTCGTCGACATTATTGTTTGCGGATGACGTCAAAACCTGGTTGATCATTATGATCTGCAAACTGACCTACACGAAGTGGTTAGATGGACCCGAGGTTGTGACTTAGGACTTAAATCCAGGAAGGGTGTGTTCATGCACATCGGACACGGTAACAATTACCAGATTACTGTTGACAGTACATTTCCTTCATGCGTACAGGAGCGTAAGTAACAACTTGAAAACAACCATGCACTGCAACGCAGCATCTAGCAAAAATTTTCATACTTTATGGTCACTTAGCCAAGCATTCAAATGCTTTGACGAGATGTTTCTAATTTCATATCCCGCCTGCGTAAGACCACACTTAGAGTACTGTATCCAAGCTGCTAGTCCAAGTCTGATTAAGGACACTTAGTCACGTTAGCGTGTTCAATCTGAAAAATGAAATTATTGAAGGGTTCTACAGAACTCCCTTATAACGATAGTTTGAAAAGCCTAGACTTTTACCCTTATAGCGTCGAAAAACGCGGTGACCTTATTTTGACGTGCCTTACCTTTAATTACGATTCGGGTGTTAATATTGTAGCGTGGTGTCGAGTTGAGGTTAACTATGAACACCGCTACCAAGAAACACGTGCCAAGTAAATCAGAAGGCGTAGGTTGAACGTAACCAAATAAATCTATAAAATCCCCGAGAAGCCAAATATCAGAAGGCAATTAATGGACCAGATTGAGATATATTCGCTGGCGATCTCGTGGCATCGAAAGGATACCGAGATCGTGCCAGGATAGAAGCTTGGTTACAGAACGTAACCGAATTCGCGCGAAGTTATAACCAAAGTGTAAGAATCAGAATGGAAGCAAAATATAGCTGTCATTAGCACAGTCAAACAAAAGCACATTAAAACAAACACTGGTACAGTTGGTTATAATAATTGTTTTTATTAAACCAGTCGTGTTCTCGTGATAAATGTGAGTCACTACAATATCTTACATCTTTTTGCTTCTTACGGCATAAACAATCTTTGGAGTCGTAGCAAGAAGGCTCAACAACCTGCTATCTTTATTACTGAAGACTGACACCAGATGATTTATAAGTACTGGTAAATACAAAAGCCTAGTGCATAAGCTTAGGATGTATCGATGCTTTTCACGAATGCACTACAAAAATAAATTAGACATAAAATCAAGTGTAAAACTAATTGCAAATACTGCTCATTAGTATCATTTGTGCCATGTATTTCGTATGTTGATGAGTAACACCTATACACTAAATTCTACCTATATTGAGATATTCCCGCAACGTTGTTTGAATGAGTACTTTCAGTGACTCACGAAGGTCATACTTTTGGGAAATTTTTTCAATACTGTGTTTACGCTAGGTCAAGGGTGTTACATGTTAGCAAATCGCTTACTGGAAAGGTTTGAAAAAGTCAGACTGCTAGGGGTGAGACCATAGTTTATGGACGACCTTTGAGTGACGTCAAAATGACCTTGAGGATGTCTACGTAATTATAAGGGCTAAAGGAGGGTTATAACACAGGTTTATATATAAACCTATGTGGAGTATAAGAACTATGATTAACGAATATTGGTTAGGGTTGGAAATCAGATTTGGGGTTTTAATCATGGGCTGACACCAGCTAAAATGACTAAGCGTTGTTTAGCTAAATAGGTGAATGTATTTCGCGTCAAAATCCAAAACTTGTCGTAAATCTGAGTGGTTCGTCTATAAATTGTAGTCCTGCGTAATAAACCCTCATTCGTCACGAACTTAAATCAGTTGAAATTGGAAGATGAATATCAGCTTGGTTCGTCTCTATACTCTACTTCTTCCCAATGTTCTTGCTCGTCCTATTTTAGTGGTTGGTTAGGTGTTAATAGTATTCACTGTAATCTTTTATCCATCATTTTCTTTAGTTTTATCTTAAATACTTTCATGCTGTGTGAATACATGTCATGCGTTATATCTTGGGCTGTCTTCCGCAATTAATGTTACACCATTAATCTTTCTGAGGCGGTTTTACGAAGCGTGCGATCTCCGAATGTATTTTTAAGGGCCATATATCTACCAATGTCTTTTTCTGTGTCAACTCTATTCTCAGTTTAATTGCGATCTCATGTTTTTTTGTCTCAAATATCAAGCCAGTACTATATTTAGATTCATATTTGTGTAGTGGGGACAGACAGCCTGTTATTCCTTTTCTAGTATGCTTCTGTGCGTGTATAGTCTTCTCTTGAATGAGTCAATTGAAAGTGCGGACACAGGTCCCAAGAATTGATGACTTGGTGTGAAAACCTGTCTGCCACGGGTATTTTGTTCGTTCTTGGCTTTTCTACTTGCCTGCTATGTCCTCTGAGATGTCCCGATTTAATGGGAAGAAAAAGAGGATGTATTAGATCAGAAATCATTTCTTAGTGTTCTATACATCGAAATCAGATCACCTCTTAATCTGCGATAGGACAGGGTAAAGAGATCTAGCTTTTCTAGTCCCTCTTTGTATGGTAAACCCCAGAGTTCTGAAATTGCGCGGGTAGTTGCCCTCTGTGCTTTTTCCAGGATATCTGAGTCACCTTTTAAACAGGGGCTTGCAGCCTGAACATAGGCTCCAAGCTTAATTCTCACTATGGTTGTATATACTGTAGTGAACATAGTAGTATCTACCCGACTGTAGCTGCTACCTTGACGCGGTGGTCGGGTTTGCCTATCGTGATTACCCAACCGAGCTATTATGTCTGGAACATATGTTCCTGTAGGTTCTACCATGCTAGGCAGGTCGATTGGAGAACGGTAAGACTAAAAGTAGCAACTCAAGGTCTGAGGGCGGATTCGTACTGCTGACTGTAGAGGGGTGTGACAGCAGTAAGGTGTTTCCCTCGGAAAACCAGCATCTGCAGTGATGCTGCCTTCTCACAAGGAAGGAAGGGGTTAGAAAAGGTCGACCCTAAAAATGTCACAACTCACCTTACCTCACAGATTTTCGTCTCCGGCGGTAAGACCCTTTGAAGAACGGAGCTAACACGTCAAAAACCTTCCTCAAAAGGTCGTGCGCGGCCGGCCTCAAGCAGTTGTCCCTTGGGCTCTGCGGTCACACCCCCAGGTCTTTAAGACCAACACTAATTCAATTTCCTTTTCAGGTTCCTCAAGAAATACCCTTCCACGGTGTGGGCAGCCGGGAGGTGACACCAGCCCTCTTACCCGTAACAGCACACGAAACCAAGTTGGTCACATTCAAATTCTTCTTACACCTCCTAATACCTCTCTTATCTCCCCGACTAACCCTTCTCACGTTCTTTTATCAGCTCGTACCGCTAGCGCGAACGATTCGAGTACGCGGAACGTTACACCTGGTCTCCTGAAACCACGCTCTAAACTTCATGTTAGAGCTTATAACGTCCGAACACTGTGCCAAATAGGACAACAAGCTTCCTTAGCTAGGTTATTTAAAATCTCGCGCCATCGATGTGTTCTGTGTCTCCGAAACGCGCATACAGGATCCGAGTAGCGTCATTCATTTGACCTCACCATATCAAAATAAAGAACCAACTTGATTCACACTTTGTGTATCTGGGAGCCCTGATGCTGCTTCTCGTGGCCTCGCCGGCGTAGGTATAGCATCGAGTCCTAGGGCAAAACTAGCTCTCTTAGACTGGATCCCAGTAGACAGTCGTTTGTGCGCTGTCCGACTGAACGGAACAGTAAGGACTCGGAAAGATAGGGATACTTGTCGTTGCCTCTTCGTCGGCTCTGCCTATTCTCCCACTGACTGACTGAGTATCTAACTAGGTGAATGTTCGTCTTAAAGCCCACAGGGTTCTAAACCCCTTATCTGCAACCTCCTGGCAGTGGGCTGTGGTCTTAAGATCATGACTCACTGTGACTCCATGATCCTTGTGAGACCGGACCACGGGTACAGACACTTCCTCTATACTGTACCTAGTTACCTTTACATTCCCAAAGTGCATGTAGATACACTTTGCCACGTTGATAGGCATCAGCCTCTCTTTAGACCAGCTAATCACAATATTTAAGTCCGCCTGAAGTGCTCATGCATCTGTGTCTCCCGTTATTTCTCGCCAGGTTTTTACATCAGCGTATAATAACTTGAGGGATTCAACTATACTTGGGAGATTATTTACATACAGTATAAAAAGTAAGGGGCCTAGGACTGAACCTTGAGGTACTCCACTAAGTACTGTTCTCCAGGTGGAGAACTTCGAATTCACTCTTACTTTCTGTCTACGACCTACTAAGAAATCAGTGTTCACAAACTAGTGTATATATTCGCTGATTTTATTAGTTGTTCATGGTCACTTAGAAGTATATCCACATTTGACCTTGATAATTACATTTTCACACCATCTATGGCAAGTACTCCGACTAAATATTTAGTGTTAGTCGTGATATTTATTTTAATTGAACTCCCAGTCTTAGCTTTCGAACTCTGACTTTGTTACTTCTGAGGTATCATAACGTTTATGAAAACTAGCTGTCACCTCTTTGGTCGTATCACTTGCTGAATGTTTAGAACTATGCATTTAACATTGTACACATACAGAGCCCCATATTTATGTGTCACTGATATTCTGACAAACACTGGCTTCTGCTAACCTTTATGTATTTCTTGACATAATATTCTGTCTTCAGTAACAAGGATAGTGGATTGGTTGACTTGCGTTAACCCTTGTGGTGTTTCCCGGTTGAGATCCAGCTCCTCTGAGAGCTCATTGATATTGCCGATACCACTGTCCAGGTAGGGGGTTCCAATCGTTTACCACTCAGTAAGGGAAACAGAATCCCATCCTGAGTCTATTCGGTTGCAGCTTATGAACCTGTTCGTCTCTAAAAGTAGCAAAATGGCAAATCTACACTCGAATCACTATTTAAAATACGAAATTCCGATATAAGATCGCCTTGCATTCTGCCACAATATAAGGAGAAAAGGTCTGAGTAGAGGTCTGTCATTAACTTAGTTCCCTGAAGTTGTATATACTAGGGTGTGTCAGTACCCTTAAAAAGACACGAATTAGCTGTTTGGATACAGTATTCTAAAGGAAGTCTTACATAAGTGGATTAGGTAACCCGCAAGATGTTTCTTTATTTGAACACATAAATATCGGTACAAAGGGTCACAGAATACATACGTGCCACATAAGCCACTTGATTTGTGTGTGGGCTGTGATACTGCCCGGGTGCCCAGATCGGAGCAGGTGGATTTCAGAGGGAGCCACACGCAAAGTCTTCAACCTGAAGGTCTGACCCACAAGGCAGTGGAGCAGCGTCAGGGGATGCAGTCACATGGAAGCCGATGACCAGCAATTGGTTCATACGACATTTGTTCCCTCAAGATCCTGTGGTTTGGAACCAGGGTTCTCCAACTCCCCTAGGTGTACCCTCAATATCCATGAGCGTGGTTAAAGCGCCATACATTCGCTTCTCGTCCTCTCAATTTCGTAAACAAAAGCCGCGGTGCGAGGTAGTGAGTAGGACTTCTCTGGCAGTGGTTGTATACGTTTGATCATATGAGAGCATTTCGAGGAGAGCTAACTCTCCAGCGTTGGCCGTACCAGGGCATTTGGGAGCATCTTTGTCAAAGCACTTAAAACTGGGGAGTGGCCATAACACTCGAAAACCTTCAATAGATCCTGCCTTGTAGTGCACAGCTGTTTTCAAGAAATGACTTTCAGTTATTCATGGATCTTTTCACCTAGTTCGAGCTGATTGCATCTTTTTCCACCTACTTTTCTCCTAACCATTTGCATTGAGATATTCTTTTATTCTGTCTGTTGGTACTTATCGCGGTTTCAGTGCTGATAATTGTCATCATCATTCCAACAGCTCTCAATATAGCCTTAATGTCAGTTCTCTTCTGCCTAAGTTATTGCTTTAAGAAAGCTGTCACTGAATGTAATAAATGTAAATATTTCAAGTGTATGTGTACCGTTTATTCCCTCATCGTTTAACGTTCCCCTCTAATGTTCGGTCTGGGCCACCCGGGCAGTATCATAGCCCACGCACAAATGAAGTGACTTGTGTGGAGCATATGTATTCGGTTCCCCTTTATACCAATATTTATGTGCTCAAATAAAAAATAAATAAAATCGTTGTCTTATAAACTCGTGCTCATTATTCCAGTAGAGTATTTCTAATCCATTCATTCTCTGTCAACTTTTAAAGTATTATAAGTGTATTTATCCTGGGATATCATGGTATTGCCGTCGAACTAAGCCGTTGGGCCGAGGTTATCTCAGTTACATCTCCATCAACCGTTATTTATTTTGCTAAGTCAATATATATACAAAAACTAAAAAGAATGTCGTTTAATTGCCTCTTTACGCCTCGACAAATTGGATACAATATGCTCTTAGTAGTTAGCTTTGTGACCAACTTAATAAATATTGCGCTTACATCTAGGGACTTGAATGGACATATCTGGTGTTTAAGTACAAAGAGTACCATATATGTAGTTGGTAACTTGTATGTATCTATTATTCACTCTTTTCTTTACTAATTTTAATCTTGTTCAATTGGTTTGCTGTTTTAGGAACTATCTTCAACACTTTGGATAAAATGTGGCAGTCTTATTTTCTTGACATGTCAAACCTCCTGCCTAATTTTATTGATGCGTGTTTCACGTTCAGTTCAGAATTCGGAGTTATACTCAGCTTCAACGGTTGTTGTATGTAGTGAATTTCTAAAACTTCTACTGTCGATATTTTTGGTTTTATCCCAAGAAGGTAAATGCCATTTAATGAGCATATTTCTTTAAATATTTTAATTGTGCTAGTTTCTAAGAAATGTTTCGCTTATTGATTGTGCACGTAGCTTTATCCACTGACTTGCTCCACTTTCACGTTAATTTAGGCTCACACATTCAAGCAAATCACTTATGTGTATTTATAATATTGTTTACCTGTTTCAAGTCAGTTAATTAGTAGTACAATTCTTAACAAAATTATGTGTATACTAAAACTGTGATAGGAAACGCTAAATATGTTTGTCGGTACCCAGTGTAATTGTAACCTTAGTTTTCTAAAGGTCTTTTTCAAAGCATTGACTTAACATTTAACTCCTAAATTGTGCATATTTATCAGGTGAGGCTTAGTAAGTTTTTTTCACAGATTGAATCAAATTTCGACAATATTAAGCGCTTCCAGCATACACGGATTCAAGTAGTACAATAATTCATTAGTCATTTCATTCTGTTTAGTACCATTCCAAAAGCGCATGTGCAACTATTTTCTGCAGTATTTAGTCAGATAAGCGAATCCAGATTAAAACCCACATTGTGTTGTAACATCATTTGTCTCAAACTGAAGAAAATTAAACAAATGATAACGAAGTCAAAGTCGTATACCTAACTTCATGAATAGTTTGTACAAATTGTTAAGAAAAAGACGCAAATTCAATGAATTCATTTAATTCTCTGCTTCCTCTTCAGTCCCAAATAACCTTGGCTTCTGTCATACTTCGTAGGTTGTTCAAAACCCGAGAAAGATAGACTCGCAAGGAGCAGGCTTGTTTTCGTTCTGGTCTTGGATGTATTGATCACATCTTCACCCTCCGCCAAATGTTAGAACACCGCCATACTTATCAAAGGCCAACAATCGTAGTATTTATTGACATCAGGGCTTCCTTCGACTGTCCTCTGGGTTTGTCTATTGAAGAAGGGTGTGCCTGAAAAGTTTATTAACATCTTAAAAGCCCTATATACAAACACCTCAGGTAGAGCGAGGGCATACAACCACCTCTCCATTGTTCCATTCAAGCAGTGGGGTTAGACAGGGTTGTCCAATCTCACCATTCCTCTTCAACTTTGCCATCGATGACATTCTGGAAACAGCTGTGATGGATGTAAGTAATGGCGGTGTGGATCTGCTGCCTGGGGAAAGACTTCTCGACCTTGAGTATGCGGATGATATTGTCTTACTGTGCGATAATGCCCAAGGCACGCAATCCGCATTTAATCGGTTGGCAATCAATGTCCGTAGGTATGGTATGTGCTTTGCAACTTTGAAGTGCAAAGCTCTTCTACAAGACTGGCAGGGTTATAATCCTGTAATCGCCCTGGATGGTGAGCAGAAATAAGTAGTCGAGAAGTTCGTGTATCTAGGTAGCTGTATAAGTGCTGGTGGGGGTGTGAGTGATGAGATCAATGCACGTATAATGAAAGCCAGAGCGGTTTATGCCAATCTGGGCCATCTTTGGCGCCTTCGTGATGTTATTCTGGCTGTAAAAGGTCGAATCTACAACGCGTCGGTGAGAGCAGTTCTGCTCTATGCTTGTGAAACCTGTCCTCTCCGAGTCGAGGACGTTAGACGACTCTCTGTGTTCGATCATCGTTGTCTCCAAAGGATTGCTGACATCCAGTGGCAACACCATGTTAGTAATGCAGAGGTTCGGCATCGTGTGTTCGGGTGTCACCATCTTGAAACACCGGCTTCGGTGGCTTGGACATGTTCTACAAATGTCGTCCCAGAGAATTCCACGTCGTGCATTATTTGCCGACGCTGGGACTGGTTGGAAAAAGCGGAGAGGTGATCGATGTATGACAAGGTGTCGTGGTATGAAAGAAAGCTGTAAAGAACTGGCTTCTGTTGGTCCTTCACGACTCCTTGGCTGGGGTCCGAGAGATAGCGCAACACAGTGGCTAGAGGCGTTATCAGATACTGCTCATAATAGAAGCCAGTGGCGATCCTGCTGTAACCCTTTACTTTCTTCATAAAGAAATATGGTTGTTTCTTCCTTAACTGTAAGATTTCTTCTGATTGTGCCTTTCCGTTCCCCCATTATTACCACTATCATTATTACACTACCTCACACCAATCTCTTCCTTATTGTTCTTTTTTACCCTCCTTACCTTTTTTTTCTCTTTCCTTCTCTTTAAATTCTCACTGTTTCGTATGGCGCATATATATTTGGCGCACTCTTGTACCAATATATATGTGTTCAAATAAATAAATTCAAATAACCTAAAATTATGGTAAATCATTATATCTAGTAATATATGTTTCCATGTCTATTACTTACAATACATCCTAGTCTTAATTTATTTACTGCTGAAGGAAATTTGTGGAGTAAGATATATTCATCGGGCTCTCTAAGCCTGTTTTTTTATAATGAAACTCTAAAACGAGAGGTCGTGAAATACAAAAGCCGTTTCTTGTTATTTATAAAATAGGCAATAATTATTTTGTTTTAGAATCACTAATATATTGGTAGACAAAAGCATCTAAGTAGACGTTCTTGAATATTGATTGCCACCTAGATACTACTTTCAGGTTTGTGTACCCAGGCCATGAATTCATATATGGGCTATATGCATGCCCAATACTCGATAAAGTTCATTTCCAACTTAAAGTATAGAAATAAATTCCCTGAACTCACCAAACCACAGCTTGACCTTTTCAAAAATGTCATCGGAATAAATTTACATGTTTATTCTGTGACTACATTTTCTGAATTCATTATCAAACTCTTGACTGTTTTTTTTCTTTATACTTCAGGTGAAATTAAACGTAGTATTTCATCAATATATAATCAAATAATTGTTCAGTATGATGATATGATTCAAATTTTAATTCCCTCAACTCTTTATATTGTACAGAATAATTTACTATATTTTGCCATTTCACATTTGAATGCTGTTTTATATCAGATACTTTATCAGAGTAAAATATTCACTACTGCTATGTTTATGATACTATTATTAAATCACCGCCTACGTTCAACTCAATGGTTTGCTCTCTTATTACTCAGTACAGGTATTATCTTAACACAGGTAAGGTTTCACAATAAATACCGTATACTCTGCTATTTTCTGCAGTGCTGCTTGCTCTCCAAGTAGTATAATTAGCCTCATTCTGTTGAAAGCTTTTCTCTTTGTAGTTAAGTGTTCTGTGATGGTTGTGATAGGCCTGACATTGAAGCATGAAACACACCCTATCGCCTGAAATGTTTAATTTCTATACGTTCGTTTTTTTTTTCTAAGTTACTCCATGTTTCAACTTAGGTTGACGCACATTTATCTCAGGTTTTATGTTGATTATAGAGTGAATATTCCAAGTTTATCACTCTTTTGGAGACTATAGATGCTTGAATTTATGGGTCACTCAGGACCTGATGCAAATGTGCTCTGCTTAAACCTACAGTCATAATCAAGAATAAAACTGACCTACAGGCATTTCATATTGATGAAACATTGTACTGTATAAACCTTGTAATGGTTTTGATGTTTCTTAAGATTCTGGGGATATTGATGAACAGTATAAAAAATAACTACTGCATGTTTTTTGCTTCTAATCCACTTTACAAATGAAGTCCAAAATTTTGAATGCAATCTAACTAAAATAACACAAATTTAGAGCAATCAAATTAGCATTACAACAGTTTAAAATCGTTCATTCTAATTGTATTGACAAACCTCACTATACTATACATAATCAAAATTGACACAAGATCATGTTTCGAAACGCTTTCCAAATCTACATCATATGTTGTCGTCCAAATAAGTGTGTAGTAGGGTATTTTTATTCGTTGGGTAATGACCTTTGCTTGTCTCAGGTCTAAAGCCAACATTTTTACGGTTGTACTCGTGTTAGTCGGCTGAACGTTATACAGAAGTGTAATCACTATAGTTTTTGCAAAGAAGTAACGTTTTAATCTACATCGAAGCTCAAATACAAAAATCGTATCATAAATTCAGTCATTGTTCCTATGCTTGCACGTTTCGTTATTCTTGTTCATCTGAATGTTAGACCGAAACATACATGGTAATCTCCAATTTTTTGTCTTTTATAGTCAGATTCTCCTATACATTAAATACTAACAGTCTCATTTGTAGCCTCATTGGAAGTAATCCTATTTAATAACTAACTCTTGATACTGAAATCTAACCATTCTGATCAAATTATTACTTGTTTTATAAAGCTTTTGTATAATAAAAATATTTTTCCCGATTCTGAAAGTCGTAAAGATGTAACGTCCCCATGTGGTAAAAAAAATTGTAAATAATGACTTGATCCACTTGCCAGGCACATAATTACGTGCGACGGTTAGTGATAATACATCTCTTCCCAAATCTTATGACCTAGTGGTTCAAAACCGACTGTTTGAACCATTAAGCCTATTACATACATAATCTTAGCATTATAACTATTTGAAACATTTTAACACTATTTATTGTGGATTATTCTTTTTCTTGCTATAACTCTTAGTTGCCTTCATTAGATCAATCAACATCGAGCAGTGAATTCCATTCAAATTTTTATGGGTTGTTGGCAATTTTATTGGCTTCTTTTACTAGCGGCTTTGCTGGTGTTTACCTTGAGAAAATATTTAAAGGAACGTCAACTTCGATCTGGATGCGAAATCTACAGTTAGGTGAGACAGAAAACATTGGTTAATATGAATCATATTAAATATATAACATTGGCTAATAACCTGGTCTTTTATAACTTGCGAATTTTTCGGTCAAATCTATTAAGGGAACAGCAAGACAAAGGGTACTAATAGGATTCGAGTACATATATACATGGGGAAGAGAATGATTCATCGAACGCTATTTAAGATATTAACATTTAAGCTAGAGAGATATGTGCGTAGGCTGCCATGTGATCAAGCGTACACGTCTATACAGATAAGACAATGATCATAATAAAACAAATAAATAGACGAACCATTGCTGTTAGAAAAACATTGTTAAGTTAATAAAAGGGTTCAACAAAAATTAAACATAGTTGAAGTCGACTGTCGAAAAGTCGCTGTATGTCCTCACCACTCAGCATCTTCAGCGTCCAAATATTCCTTATTAGCTTTTCCAAAATTTGTGAAAATCTCTATCTTGATGATAAGGAAAAATCCTACATTTTGCTGATAAATGCGTTGCACATACTTTTGATAAGATGTCATAATAATCTTTCTTGACCCTATATTCGACTTTCGGTAACCTTTAGTTGCTGCCTGTGAATAAAAGTTGACAAATGTTTGGTGAATATATTTAATTGTCGTCAGTTTCCTCAACAACAAAAAACATGTAGTACGGCTAAGCAATGGTCATGGTTCAATTTTGTTCGTCAATTTTAATACACTTCCCTACTACTTTTGATATGACCCGTTTTGTAATACACAAACTTGTATGTAGTTAAGGTATGAATGCTGTTTGGCTTGCTAGACTAATAAATAATCTCACTATATTTCAAACTGTGCCATTCAATTAAATTGATAATGGATATATTTGTGCGTAGATCTAATCGGTCACCCTTGTGACTATGCAACACTCGGTTGTAGGTCTTAAGTCTTATAGCGATGCGATTGCAACTTCCAATCACCATAATTCGGGTGACAGTCATTACCCATGATTTGCGCCACTAATCTAGACTTAGATACTTACTGAGATCATTAAGATGCTAAGCTTACGCACTGACTCTTGACTTTTGACAATGCATCCTTATAGATACTAATATTCACTAATGAATTTCCTTCTATATTTTAGGTCTCTTCGGCGTGCCAATCGGTCTGTTTGGAGTCTTCATTAACGATGCATCAAGAGTCAAAACTCTGGGTTTTTTTTACGGTTACACACCTATCGTTTGGATTGTAGTTATTCTTCAGGCGTTTGGAGGGCTAGCAATAGCCTTTGTCATGAAATATGCTGATAACATTTTGAAAGGTTTCTCTATGGGTCTATCAATGATTCTGTCATCTCTCATATCTTATTTCCTGTTTGATGACTTTACTCCAAACATGTAAGAAATAGCACAATATTGTTTTCTTCAACCTTCAGTACGTAGTTCAGTAAACATTACTTTTAAATGCTGTTCGTAATGTGGGAGCGCCTTAAATACAATTTGTAGGCTAAGTACACTTATATTTGTAGTTCCTCTAGTTGTCAATCAATGCATTTGTTAGTCTGTCTTTTTTATAAAACAGACTTAGCTAACCCGTCTGATGATGTCAAGACACAATGAAGTATCCTTAGTCAGTTGTACACACACGAAAGTTTGTTTAAAATATATCCATTTACTAAGAATGTCACAGGTACCTAGAATCCATCATTAATTTGACAAGTTTTGTTTTACAGACATTACTCACTCACTGTCTTACAGAACACTTATATAGTTAAAAAAAATTCAATGTATCATGTATTTAAAACGTCGTAGGTTGAATTTCTGATTTGTTTCATGTTGCAAAAAGGATACGTTATTAATAAAATCATATTAAGTGACAGTCATATATTTCACTTTATTGTTTGATCTACATTATAGACATCCAATATTAACACCTTAATTGATTCTCTTAAACAAAACTAATATTCATAAATTCATTTTCATTTAGGTATTTATTTGTCGGATCCATATTAGTTATCAGTGCAACGCTAATATACGGTCTCCCCGCAAAGTATGACGCAGTCTACCCAAACGTAAACAAAGCATAAACTTGCAGGAAATGTTACATCAACATAGTGATAACAATCAAATTGTAAAGTGTTTTTTTCTGGAAAAATAAAAATGACAATCTGTTATAACGCTCGGATTTCCTTTGTCTTTACGAATGGGACGCTAATTTGCCGTAGACGTATATCTCCATTAGATTTCCTCCCGGTGTCTATTCTACAGGACTTCAACACAACTCAGATCAAGAACACGTGATTAGTCTGACTGAAACGTAAATATATTTACACCAAAAACCGACAACAAGCCGACACAATCCAGCAACAATCGATAACAATAATAACGATAAGAAAATATATAACTTATCTAACGCCTGTCAGACTATCTACAACCAATCATTCTCGCCCACACGTCACAATCTTATAAAATATCTACGGCGTTGTACAAGTGTTCATTGATTGAGAATGCTGAGGAACAGTGATTTCATTATCACTGGTATCATAAGTATGGAACTCCGTAGGACTTTCCTGTCTTTGGAATACTGATAATGCGGGTACAGAGTACTTTTCTGCTGCCGCCAACGCTAATTCCTCTGCATCTTTTGGTGAATGACCATTATCCAGCTCAGAAAAGTACGTGACAGTAAATGCTAAACCATCATGCATGATATTATGGATAGGGTCTAAGTCGACCAGTTCATTACCTAATTCTTCACCTAATACATCGACAGCAGGTGATGGATGAGGAAGATCATATTTTTGGTGTGATTCAACACGGCAACGAGGAGAATGTTGTGCTACGCTCAATCCGCTTAAAGAGTAACACGTGTGATACGCATCAGGGTTTTTTCCAGGTTTATCAATTAATCCACCATCAGAAGTAGATACATCGTATTCAGACGTGAAATTTTTATTTGAAGACGACAATTTTTCACCAGAAGAATCATCTGCATGCACACTCAGACCTGGACGAGTGTAAGAAACCTTTTGGCAGCAGAGCAGTATATATTCCTAGTAAAGAATAAAATTATGAATTGATAAATTTTCATAGTTTCTGGGTCTTGAAAACTATCACAACTTTTATTAGATAAATTAATATCAAATATTGAGTAAATGACTATTTAATCAAGTAATTTACAGGAGATTTAACCCATTTTGCAGGTAGTTTCTAGTAATTAGAGAAGCAGTTAGCCCTAAGACAACAATCGACACTTAAGATTCTGGTGATGAGCACTATAACAACCAATCAACGAGTACAAATAACTGCTTAGTCGCGATTCAGTAATATATATCATTATCTTAATACGTACTTGTTGTGTCAAATTATGGTTAGAACGTAAGTGAATATTTGTTAATCTATTCAATTTGAATAAATCTAATACAGGTTTAATAATTAATGGGATATGCCATAAAAATTATTAACTTCTTTCATTGTAAGGATGAATTTTTCCAAGGTGACATAAGAAACCAACTTTAAAATATTCAGTAATATATCTTTTCAATAAATATTCTAAACTGATGAAAACTAATTTCAAAAGGATTAGGTCAATAGCCTGGGCAGAAGGGTATATTTCAGTGAATAAACTTGTATTGCCTGTATTAGTACTAACATATCTTGTTTCTTTTCGTTACGCTACTAAAATGATTTATTTGGTCTTTGGAAAATCCAGGAATTGGCATAATGGTTCGGGACCATAACAGCAATCTAGGAAATAGCCTACTATTATATCTATCTGCTACATCCATAGGATTATAGTTCAGCTTTGAAAAAGGTAATCACACGGGCAGGATGATTATCATTTGTCAAACCATTTTCTAAGTATAGCGATTAAGACTAAAAAAGAACGTTTTACTCATCGATAAGTTCATCATAGTGGTACTTTAAGCTGTTAAATAAATTTTCATGAATACAAACAGACTGAATGAATTATGTCAACTAGACAGATATGAAACAAATACATTCAAGATTATACCACAGAACCACGAACACTAGAGCATGGTGCTGAACTTAAAAACAAAAAGTTATCACGTTTTTATTATATCGGCAAATCATAGTTACTTTCCAACTCAATAGTCGTCCCTACTTAACGTAACGACTGAATCGAGTTATAATTTCTGAAGCACTTCTTGTTTCGATTCATGTCATGATAGGCAAGTCGAGTGAAAAGCGACTTTACTGAAAGCAGAAAATTCTGAGTGGTAGTGAAACTGTCCTGCCAGGTTTAATGTGTCCTAATAGCAGTGTAATATTCCGGGAAGTCAATGACTGCCGCTCTGAATTGTATGAAGAGACATAGCTTTCTTAATAGGGGACCCCGAGATAATTGTAATTAATATTTGGAGACTAAATTTCAAATATTATATTATTCCATACTTCTTATATTGACTTATTTCCTTGTTTTTAACTATTCACTCGTGCCAACGAAATGACATTCGTTCTTTTGACTCTTTCTGATTCCTCATTGTGTTAAGGTGTTGTAACTTGGGATGATAAACACTTGGGCTAGGAGCAATATTATTTACGTTTGTATGTATAATGTGTAACTCTGAAATGAATACAGATTTGCGTACACGCCTTCTGATCATGCTTAAGTGTGCAAAACATATTAACACTACTGGATTGTTTACTCGAAGTAGGAGTTCAAAAAGTTATTTTATGCTTTAAAGTAGGATAATTTAACCAACAATTCATTAGATATTTGTACATTTTTCAGTGACACCTCACTGTTGTGTGTGGCGTTTTAAAGTATGAACAAACGAATTCCGAGAATAAAAACCTACCAAAATGTTACATGCCATATTTCAAATACAACATAAATTAACGAAATTTACTTGCAAGGCAGAAGGGTTAAACAACGTATCAATGTCATTAAGCGCAGGGTCGCCAGACAGCCATAACAGTTCTTCGACAATTGGGAAAATAGCACCTTGCCAAAAAGAGTAGCAACTGTCCACTAACTTATTTGTTCTACCCTTGGAATAAAGATCAACAAGTTATTAACGGAACGAAAATATTTTACTTTGCAGCTTAATCTGTGAATGTTTTAAAAATTCAAGTATAAGTCGAAAGACAGCATGATTTAGTCAATTTAAATGTTATGAGTACGGTGAATCAACTGAATATAATTTAAAAATTATAAATACAACCGGTGTAACAAGGACAGATTACAATTAGACTAATATAATAGGAAAAACAGCATGATTTAACCAGTAACATCACTGTAATCTACAAGTTATAGATAGAAAATACCAAACGAAGTCTAATAAGGAATTCACTGATATGTAGATTACAGGATCATAGACATTTCATGGCAAAAGTTGGCAATTTCGACAACCATTCTTGTTTCAAGTCAACGGGACATTTTACCTTGTTAATTAATCATAAATGGTATTTCGAACATACGAGACTAACTTTTAATAACTCTGCTACATTAATTCTCTAAAAGATCGTTTCGGTACAAACTGATTACAACAAAAATATTTACATAACACAGAATTTATCAAATGGTAACTAGCAGTGAAGTTGAAGATATGCATGTTGTCCTAATTGACAGTTACTTGTGTCAATATTTTCATTGAAACAAGGAATAACTACTTCAGTTGAAACTTTAATTTCATGACAAAATTATCAGATAACTAAAATCTATGAAATTTTATGATGAAAATGTATTAATAAGGTCTTATAAAATCACCAATATAATAAATTCCATTTATAAGCATAAGGAAATCAAATAAATGATAATGAAATGTACTTAAGTGTGAAGTTATTACCTGTTTGCTTATTTAATGTCATAAATGGTTTTTAAAAATAGTTCATTTGAGTATTCTTTTTTCAGTTTTTTTTTGTGATCTAACTTTTGATAAAACGCTTAAATTCATTTATATTTGCAATTAGATATACTTAAATTGACCTATATACATTTTATTTACTAATATTTAGTAGTGGAGATTCTCATACGAAAGAAAAAGACCATCTGAGGATTCATTTGTCTGGGCAATCTACTGTTAACCACTCGGTTACAATTTTAAGCTAAGTTGAAGAAGTCAGTGTTTGAATAGATATTACATGATAATGGACTTGATTACTCATCGTAATTACTTATCCATTTTTGTGCGTAAAAACACAAAATGCAAAACATTCCTTACCTGAAAACCACCTTCTGTCGCCATTTGACGATGGCTGACCCAATACAATAGTCTAGGTAAATTAATTAAATCTGACCTTCCCAAAAGGCACAGCGTTGCTACCGCACAGAAGGCATAACCACCATGAGCCTCCAATCCAGGTTGACCGCCGAAACCACCTTCATACGTCTACAATAAAAGTATATATATGCACAGCAAAATCTGCTAAGATTATGAAAGTGAACTTGGAAGCAATTTACGTTTCTCTATAAGCTTTTATTAGTCATTTGCGTGACGAACTTCTGAGTAGATCACATAAAAGACATCCTTTTCCACTTTTTCACTATATATTATTCAATTAAAGTTAATGTAATTGTATTGTGAATGAATCGAAGAATAACACTAGTCTGAGCAAGCGTTTAACTTTCCTGAAACATAAAATATTGTTAATATGATTAAATAAGCCAAATGCACAATCTTAAAGTTATTACATTCTAGCTTTAAATCCATTGTTCCTACTTTGGTTTGAGCAGCAATTTACTATGTACAACATCAAAATAAGTGTAATCTAAAGTTTTATGTTGAAACAAACTTTTTCTATACTGCTGAGTTGAGTCGGCGATAAAAAGGAACTGCTGATTTGTCCACTGACTGCATGGATTTAGAAGACATCTTATTGGATTGAATTAAAAATCTGGCAAAATTGCTAGCATAAACAATTATTTATTTATGAAGAATAGTTTCCTATTATATATTAGTCCCAGATATATAAACGCTTTTCATGCAGAAAAGAGGTACTGAATCACATATTTGGAATAATTAATCCCAGTAGCACGTAAAAATAGCTCACCTGACAACTAGCCACCCACTCTGCAGTCGATTCAAACAAATCAGGATATTTTTTAAGCAACCCAGTAAGTTTTGCAACTGCTGTGGCACAGTAGGCACCTCGAACATCAGCTTCACCTCCCAAATGCATTAAAAATGAGCCGTCTGGCTGATGAAGTTTCCGCATCCAGTCAGCCAGTGTATCCCGATTGATAATATCTAGGGCATCTCGACGACATAAAGAAGCCAAACAATTAACTGCACCATATGAAGTTGCAAGATGTGCAAATTGGTAAGGCCCGCCACCAAAACCACCATCCGGATGCTATAGATAGAAAAAACAAGGAATTTGGTGAACAATAAGTGGTGAGACTAAATTACAAAACACAGAGTTAATTCAGATGCCAGTTATAAAATCGCCAAGGAAATACCAAAAGTTTTTTGTAATAACAATTAAAAGTTAGTAGAACACGAACCATTACGAGATGATAGTATTTTATTATTTGTTGTTTATTTGAAATCTCACACATTTCTTTTAGTAGTTTTTCAAACTACTGAAACTAACTTGTTGGGACATTTTTAAAGTATGTGAAATTTATTTGATCTGAATTATAATTTTATCAATAGTAATAACGAAGAATTGCTAACAGAGTGGTAATATACATAATATAAAGCAAATTTGATCAAACGTATAACCTCCGAATGACTGAATACAAGTGGGTCCCCATTCAACATTGGACTCAAAATTCGATAAAAGCATTTTTTAACCTAACAAAATCCAATAAAAATTAAAGCAATAAACCCTTTTATAAAATTTGATAGGGTAATGAAAAGACAGTTCATTTAGAAAGTGTGATGGACTACTTGTATTTGTGAACACTAACTACCACAATTTGTACTAGTGTTCTGGCTTTTTTTCTCGACAGCGTAATTCCAAAGAGACTGTTAAAATTCCCTGGTTACTACCGTTTACTAGCACTTCACGGACTAAACAATCATTTGCACATTAAACTATCTACAACTGAGTGCCTCTCCATAACATACATTCCATCCATTATCCCACGTATACTATCTAATTTTACCTCAAATAAACCGAAAGCTAACTTGTGAACCTCAAAACCGGAACAAACTTTTAATTATCTTGGCATCTCTCTAGACATACTCTAAACATAATTTAAGCGGACTTGGACTGCCTTCAGGATTATGAAGTAAAACATGCGGAAAAAGTAGATGTGTGAGCACTACGAAAGTTAACACAATTATGATCATTTAGAGCGAAAAACGCCTAGGTAGGAATTCTCACCATATCAAAACTATGATTACACAAAGGTAGTTTATACTCGCAAACCTAGGACAGTATCGCACAAACCCTTTCACACAATACGTATTGCGTCATTCTCCAAAAGCATATTTTTATATTAACTCAATTTGAAATTGTTTGGATTACCGAGTTGTTGCTATTTGGACTGAAACTCGATCAGTCTTGGTTGGTATATGCGTATTCTGCCCGGATTGCCTCCATATAGCAATTGAAACAAGTCAGTATGGAGTAAATGGAATATGGCTAGCAGTAGAATCCAGGACGCGTGCTTTGTCCCGCTTGGGACTCGTCAGCTAGATGTTAACGAATCAGAGTTGATGCCCACTCAAGGACACTAACCCCGTACCATTCGCTTTGAACGCCGCTGCGTTGTCCACTCAGCTAATGAATCCAGAGAACTTTGTACATGCTCTAAACTCGAACACTATTGGTCGAGTCAGAGCTTATGTGGAACTTTCATAGGAGTTGGTTACTCCAAGCGGTGTTCGTCGATTGTGTCCACTTTCCTGTTTTTTTAACCTTTACATAGACATGCTTTTAGAGATAACGCTTTCATCGTCTCATTTCAGGGAGTTGTTCTTTTACCATGAGGTTTACTTGTTGACTTAGAATACACAGGCAGCACAATTCTGTTTGGTAGAGACGCTGACAAAATACAGTCTTTTGACCACCCTAAGCAAAAATACAAGCATATTAGAGATGCGATTCTCTCCCTCTAAATGCGAAATATAGCTTCAGGACCGACCGGCAAAATCTCCTGAATTAACAACAGGGAATGAAGTAGTAGTGTACAGACCACTTCATTTATCTTGAGAGTCCCATTAGTGTTGATGAGCTGGTGTCTGGTGAGATATCAGAAACCTCGGTTTACCTTTTGAGAACTTAAATCGATTGTACCATGGGCGAACTGTCTATCTGTCAACTGTGAGGAAGCTCAGAAAGAGCCGAGGACATTCCACTCAATCATCTTTTGGAAGAACATTCCAGAACCGCTACGTATAGCTTCCCTATTGGATAAATTCTAAAAACCACTGTATGCGGATTGGATGACTATAATAACTTCGCTTCCACTAAAAATTATAAATACCTGAGAGTTTCGTATCATATTTGATACCGTTTGGAATAGCATTCCTTCTCACTAGTCTTCTGTTGTTTTTTTTCATTTTCGACTTGGATGGTTTTAGCGTCCGAGTGCTTAAGTTGCACGCGGTATACCAAGAATCTAAGCCCTAGATATAACAACTGGCAACAGGGATGAGATTTGAACGGATCACCTGTAAGACCCTTTTGATTTAGGTTCATCTACTGGGTTAGAGTTTCTAGAATACGAATCTGGAACTGTTTGTAACGCTTTTCTTGACGCTCTAGCAAAGCTTCAACTTGGTCAAAGGTAAATGACATCTTGATAAGCTGACCCCGTCGCCAATTGTTATATCTAGAGCTTAGATTCTTGATATACGGCGTACAACTTGAGCACTCGAACGCTAGAACCCTCTAATGTACAATGTACAAGCAGTGACTTATCCAGCTCACAGAAAGACGGTGTCTTGTTAAATACTAACGAAATTGTTGCGGTACCCGCCCACGAAGAAACAGAAAATAAATTGAACAGCATAATGAATACAATTGCACCGAATGGAGCTTATCGTTCTGCGACAAAATTTTCTAATGAATCTACTTATCAGGATTTCCTAGTTTTATCAGATATGGGTTATATTAATGACTCACATGCTTTTGATTAAATCCCCAGCAAAAATGAGAAAAATATTTCGGATGAACCAAATGATGATCAAAAACCTAATGCAATTTTGATAGATACTGATTTTCCTAATGATCCATTACCTACTAATGAGATTTCCAATAAATTTGATGGGATTTTTTCAGAAGAATCAAACCCTGATGACCTCCTATCAAGTGTCGTTGATCCTCACCATCTAGTCACTTCTAGTGGATTCTCTATTCAGTGCAAGAAATATGTTTTAAATAGAGTCACATTAAATGTAACTTGGGGATATGAGGTTCCAACATTCTTTCGTGGGGGAGGATAAAGTCAGGAAATTTAAAGTCTGGATCTAAACTCCAAATCTTTAAAAAAGGTGTTATATCCCGACGAGAATAGTGGATGGTAACTATTGAGATTCATTTATGGACTAATACTATACATATATTTTCACTGTATAATTGTTAAGTAAATAAACCATGCATATTCAGGTCCGTCTTATTATAAGCTTTATTTTGATTTATAGACTATTATTATACGATTCACCGTTCTTGAGTTATGCTTGGTTTATTAATTACAGTCTCCCACATTCACATTTTGGCTACATCTCGTACAAATGTTATTTTCTATTTTATGGTGTGATATGGTCTGGTTTGTATTTAAACCCAGTATGTTTTGAATACATGATTCATATCATGGAGGCTGAGATTGGTGTTTTGGGCTCAACAGGTAGGGCTAGGCAGGAAGAAGGAACGATGAAGACTCTAGACTGCTCGTACGGGTTCATGCGTCACTGGTCCGGTCGATAAGTCACTGTTCTCTAATTGGCGGTATAATTACGTTGCATATTAATAGGGCACAAGGCCATAGGGTTGCGTATAATGATAATGACGACCTAATTCAGCAAATAAACACATTGTCATGTACTAGACTAAGTTCGTTGCATGAAGAAAACTAGCTAGCCGAACTGAATTTGGTAAGGTGTAATATGAAACTTTTTACTTGAAGGTTAGATACTTCAACTAGTTGACCAGAAAACTTTGAATCAATTTATATGTGGTTATTATGTTGTCGCTGCTGATATTCATCGGTTTCAGCAAGATCAACGAGAAGTCTATTTGACGTAGGAAAAATTTAGAATTAAAACAATCAAATATCAGAAGCCTGTTTCTTGATCGTTCTACAAATAACCACATAGGAACTGCACAGTGATTTGGACTGGAAGATTATCATTTCCTTCTCAATTAATAGATGATTTGTAAATTTAGATGTGATTAAGTGCAACAAGGAAACAAAAAATGTAAGACTTGATTAAACCACTGCTGTAATTACTGAACCAAGAAAAGTAGCTTCGACTATGCAACACTTTATACAAGACAACTGGATAAAATGTTGCAATACCTCAAAAACTGAAAACAGGTTACATACCTGAGAGGATGCTAAAAACGATATCAATTTTACCGAGGTCTCTTCAGGGATTACAAAGTTCAGCAGTCTTAAAGCATGTACAATCCAATACGCCAACCACGGTTGGCTTGCATCTAAATGTTCAAAACTCATAGGCAGATTGAAAAGTCGCTTGTTGAGATAATTTATGTGGTTTATTTTGAACAACCGAAGTGCATCATCTTTCCATTGACAAAGTTTCTCGTAGTACGCTTTACTAACAAGGCTTTCTGTTTCCATTTGATCTATAATAGTTCTAGTTTCAGGTCCGTTAGTTCTGTCGGCCCGTCGTAGATGAAATAATGTAAGACGCTCCATAGTGATGCGGTTTGTAGGCGTATGGAGATTAAATTTCGCTTTTAAAGTTGCCTTGAAAGGTTGGAGAATAAAATAGTTACATCACCCAACAAATTTACGGTAAAAGTTCTTTATCAAGTGACATTTAAAACGGACGACCACTACGAGACAGTTAAAATATTAAAAATGAAAGTGGATCATAGCAAATATTTTGGTTAGTTAATTAATCCCAAGCCAGGAAGTTCAGTAACCAGTAGGTATATGTTTAGCCTGTAAAGAAAAGTGTGAGAAATTGATTCAGTTGGTCTAGTTCCTATAGACCAACTAAACAACAATATGGAATGAAAGGAAAAGATCGCTAATTAGTTCGCAGTTTCTGATAGTTTGAAAACAATCGAAAAATAGTTAATATTTTAAAAATTAGAATCCAAAGGAACTTATATTGGGAAACTGTCAATCAGATGCCCAAACTTTGTAGACGCGTACTATGAAGTAATCGATTCAATGTGATCATGGTAAAACACGAAAAATTATTGATCCATACTAGAAATAAAAATTTCAAGTATGTGAATGAACAAGATATTCTTATAATAACAAAAGCATTAGAACGATTGTCAAAAAGCAAGTGGGACAAATTCTGTTGTTTTATAAAGTTAGTAACGTGCTGGATATTTCAGAAATTTAGATAAGTTCTAAAGTTCTGAGACTGATGTATCTACGTCAACTAAATAGGCATTTTTATGACAACAAAAAGCTAGTATTTGTAGCCTACAAATCCAATGCGATAATATCACGTGCTGGTGTTACTTAATCGCATATTAACACATCAACAAACACACGAACTAATGCAGTCCACAACTTATGTCTATGGAAGAAACATTAAGCCTGTAGAATTTAATGAAATATCTGCTGATACAATTTCTGAAATAAAAGAAATAGGTGGCTGCCTTATTTAAACTCCAGTTCTTTAAAGTTCGTTACAGTTACTTCGTACTTAAATTAAAAGCATTTAGCATTAGCTAATATATCCATTAAGGCATCTTAAATTATGTATCGGTGCAACAGATTCTATGAGAAATTATTTACATAATTTTCTTGAACAGTGTAAACCCTACAGACCTGAACGCTTAGTTCATGATGTGTACACGTTTATGCAGCTCGCTGATGACGTTAGTTTACATGGAGCTTTACATTCGGAATTCGCCTTTACATTTGATTTGTACATGATGTAGATTAAGAAATTAGGGCACAGCGGTTATGCTAGAACTAAGCAAGCAGCTCAGTGTAATGCATATAAAATATTCTCTGGTGGGTTTCAAATTAGCATTTCCGCGACCACTATAAACACATCAGTCAAATGCGACTACAAGAAACGGATAATTACGTGCACGAATATTAAATTCATTTCATTTAAGCTGGATAATGTAGTACTAGTACACGGTAAACCTGGGCCAATCACTGATATAGGGGGAAGAGAATTAACTAAAACTACAGCTTTGACTGACATATTAGATTGTTTGAAGGAACCATTCTCGTTCAGTGACATAGGTATATTTATATACTCCGTAGTTTGTAATGTGCACATATGGGTTTGTGTTAATGATGTGCACTGTGATCCTCTGAAATGTGTTGAGAATATAGTAATAATTCCGTTGCTTCATACGTTTATGTGAATAAAGTTTCATACTCATCTTACTACTTTGAAACAATTTCTAACTTTTGTATACAATTTAGTGAACCGCCAAACAGTTTTCAGTCATCAGTGCACCAAGTAAGAAGCAGGTAATAATTGCAGCAAGCAAGAGATTTGTCAGAGGAAAACGTTGTGTCTATCCTGCTTTGTGGATATGCACCTTAAGAACAGTGCTCAGCCACATGACAGTTGGTCACTTATCAGGTGTGAGGCTATCTACTAATATGGTGAGTAAAATACACAAGTTCATTCCCCACGGACGATTCGAAGACTGTAAAGGAATCACTGATCTCGTTCAGCAAGTTAGCTGGGTACCATGCCAATATTTTAAATGAAGAAAAAATACTCTAAATACATACATGGAAACCTAAAAGGTAAGTACACAAATCCTATTAATCTTTGGCAGAGGGGCTTCGAAATGGAAACCAGGGTATTTGTACAGTTCACCTGACATGAACATGGCCGAAATCCAGGCTGGGAAGTCATGTGCATTATCCGAAGCTCAGGTTTCTGGACAGTCATGTATCCCCACTGGCAAAGTACATTTTAGTTATAAATGTTCATAGATGAATACTACTCAAGTAGAGACGTTGCTATCGAGGTCCGCGTCAACGCCTGTTGGCAATGAGTTTGAGGCTGACATTTGCAGTTTAGGTCTATGTTTGGGATTCGCGAAGCTACATGTTGTTCTGCATCATATCCTGTCATCACTGTCAGATTTTAATACCAGCGTTATGCAGCTTATGTCTTAGTTTGTCTGATGAGCGTGATAATTCACAGAAACCTAATATTGTATTATCCAGTTTGTATTTCTCTGTCATTTGAAAACAAACTATGAAAGTTGGAAGCATGTCTTCAGCAAGAATGCATGAAAGACAAACTTGTAAATCAACTAAATTCATTGGCTAATAATTGAAATTGCTCAAACGCTTCTCATTGGCTCGTCCCTAAATTAGAGTTTCGCCGTCCCATCTGTTTTAACCTCTCAATAATCACCTCCTCTCTAAAATCCGCTGTGAACCGACCGTATGTGGGCAACCAAACTGTTTGTTCCCTGTGAAAGAGGGGATGCAGTGTGACGAATGCCATAAGTGGTTCCACAAAATGTGCACCCACTTAAGCCCCACCGCATACAAAAGATGCTCGAAGCCTAATTCACATTGGCTTTGCATGTTTTGCTGTGCCAACAAGGCATTACTAATACAGGAGGCTATGAGCCTGTTGGCTTTGGCCTGTAAAAAGAAGGATGGCATATGCGCCGACAACACGGGCACTGACAGCGACGAATGTGTCAGTGTAGTACCTGCTGTTACGCGACGCCTCAAACAACCGACTCTGACTGACGTAAAAGTGGAATCTTCGTTGACATTAACAGGGGGAGTAGTACCACCTGGTACTGACATTGTTAATAATGCACCTTTAATGGGAACCGAAGATCTGGATAAAACAGTCACCGTTCCAAATAGTCCCAGTGTTATGAGGGATGAAAAATGGACTACGGTACGTAGGAAACGAAACGAAAAGAAAAAAGCTGTAAGCAGTACACAGGTAGTTAGTAACTCACTGGTGGACCCAAATTGTGAGCCACAAATTGCACTACCAAAATCTGAAGGTAAGAGTGAAACCCATCCTGGCGTGACTGAGAAGAAAAATCTAATAACATCGAATATTATTGTGAGCAAATTGCGGGAGTCAAACGACCCTGATCCGAAAATTAGACACGCGCATGACTTAGAAAAGCTAGGAGAATACATTCGTAGTATTTTACCAGATAACTCCAAAGGAGTTCAGGTCCAAAAATTGGTAAGAATAGGCAAGAGGATCGAGGACAATGTTGAACCCCGTCCATGCAGACTCCTTAAGGTAATCCTAGGATCGGAGAAGCAACGGGATCTCTTGTTAAGTAGCGCTCGTTGTCACGATAATTCTGACATCCGAGTTAGACCTGACATGTCTCTCGAAGATAGAATAAAAAGGAAGAAAGCACTAGCTGAACTTGAAACCCGTCGGCAAAACGGCGAGGAAAATCTCCGACTAGTGGGTTTTCGGATAGTCAGGTCTTGGAAGCGAATGCTACCAAGGCCTGTGTGGACAGGCTGTTCTATTTAGGAGTTTTATATGCCAACGCTCGCAGTTTACGAAATAAGTTCTATGAACTAGAAGCACTAGTAGACAGGTTAAGGCCACTCATAGTAGCAGTGACAGAAACTTGGTTAGTCCATGACTTAGACATTACTCCAGAATTATCCGGATACCATTGCATCAGGAGTGATAGACATAGATGTAGGAAAGGAGGCGGCGTCCTGTTATATATAGCCAATGGCATAAATATCCGCTCCTCTACTAGCGAATCCCATGATAGCGGCACTTGTGAAGTCATTAGCTGTAAGTTGGCTATAGGATGTAGTACATTTATGCTAGGTGTCATCTATCGGAGCCCAATCTGCTCAGCTGATGACTTTGTTTTAGAGCACATTGATCTTTGGAGTGATAATACCAGGTGCTTGATAATAGGAGACTTTAACGCACCTGATATCAGTTGGACTGATATGACCACAGAAGGATCTATAAACTCCTTTGATAGTAGGTTACTGATAACAATAATGGAGCATGCACAAGTGCAGCATGTATCCCAACCCACACGTTTTGGTGTTAACCAGGGTTCTTCTCTGCTGGATTTGGTAATCACTCATGAGACTGAGGATAATGTCGACTTAAATATTCTTCCACCGTTAGTAAACAGCGATCACGCTGTTTTGTCATTCGCGTTTAGAACTAGGGACATGTTATACGATCAGGTTACACCGCGCCCAAATGTATGGAAAGCTAACATATCAGCCATTCAGGAATGCACTGCTAAGACAGATTGGTTAGTAGATACTAGCATATCAGTTGAAGAAGCATGGTCTGTATTTAAAGGTAAATTTAGACTAGTTACGTCCCCGTTCATACCATACCTGGTACCGCGAAGACCGAATAATAGTCCACCATGGATAACTAAAACGGTCAGGAAACTCCTTAGAAAAAGGAAGAATCACTGGAATATGTTCATCTCTACTGGCTTAGAACAATACAGACCCAGTTATTGTAAGATTAGGAATGCCTGTAAAGCGTTAATAAGCAAGACTAGACATTCATACGAAAAACAATTGGTTAGGGATTCTAGATATAGTCCGAAACGGTTATTCTCGTATATAAAAAGGCGAACTAAGAGAAGCGATGGAATTCCATCACTTTTGATACGAGACAATCCGTTAATCTTAGCAGAGAATGATGCCGAAAAAGCTGAAGCTTTATCGGAATATTTTAGTAAAGTGTTTTCTATCGGTAACGAGGAACGACCAATGATTCATCGTGACCGTGACGGCTCGCTGACGGATCCTGTAGTCATTGAGAAAGATACTGTTTTAAGGCTACTTCAGCATCTCAAACCTGATAAGTCCAGTGGTCCCGATGATATTCATCCTAGGATTATGAAAGCCATATCAGATGAAATTGCCGAACCATTAGCGATACTATTCGACATGTCTCTGAGACAGTCCAGACTTCCTAGAGACTGGAATGTAATTTTCATAGATCTAAGTAAAGCCTTTGATAAGGTTTCACACTCTGGTCTTAAATTCAAACTGAAACGTTTCGGAATCCATAACACAGTCGTCGATTGGATAAGTAACTTTCTCCATGACAGGAGACAAAGAGTAAGGGTTAATGGGGCTCTCTCCTCGTGGGTACCTGTAAAAAGTGGGGTTCCCCAAGGCACAATCCTAGGTCCTCTTCTCTTTTTACTTTATGTAAATGAATTGCCAACTGTAGCAAAATCATCCGTTCTACTCTTCGCTGATGACATAAAGATTTGGAGACCCATACATAGTATGTCGGATAGAATAGTATTACAGGACGATCTTAGCTCATTGGTGGTGGCATGGTTAGACAGGTGGTCACTAGAAGTAAATCCTAATAAGAGTGTAGTGATGCAGTTAAATAACTCTGATGAATCGTATGACTATACACTACGTGGATTCGTGCTACCCAAAGCAAGAAACTATAAAGACTTAGGAGTTATATTAAGCAATGATCTCAAAACGACTAGTCACTGTAAGGCTGCTGCTGCTGCAAAAGGCTATAGGGTATTATGGTCAATTCGTAGGTCTTTTCAGTATTTAGATGATGAAATGTTTGGATTACTATACCCGATTTATGTGCGACCACATTTAGAATACGGGATTCAAGCAGCGAGTCCTTGTTTCAAATATGAAGCAGATATGTTAGAAAGAGTCCAACGACGAGCTACTAAGATGGTACAAGGTCTAGCTGGCCTATCTTATGAAGACAGACTGAGACACCTTAACTTATTTCCGTTATCTTACCGTAGAGTACAGGGTGATCTAATATTGGCTTATCGTATACTGAACGATGACCTTGGTATTAACATGTCTTATCTTTTACTTCCGTCTAGAACCGATCATTTGAGAGGACATTCGAAGAAAGTTCAAAAACCGAGATCAAACCGTTTACGTCTGGAGTTCCGTTTCTCGCACCGAGTAGTGAATTACTGGAATTCCCTACCGGAACACGTAATATCAGCACCGTCTGTTAATATATTCAAAACGAGATTGGACCTCCACAGTATTACAAACTGCAAGGATTAATATAGGTCGACAGACCTCCTATCCTTATTACTGAAGACTGAAGACTGTATGTTAGGATCGCGTGTTGAACTTGGCTCCGTAACCTTGAAATTGCTCAAACGCTTCTGATTGGCTCGTCGCTAAATTAGAGTCTCGCCAATTCATTTGATTATTACATAAAATTTCAAATGGTCATCGTGACATGAATAAGGGATGGTAATCCAAAAACTTCCATGAAGTATATTTTGTCATGTTATGAAACCTGAGAAAGAGCACTCCAGAAGTTCAAGTTTCATGGCAGCATACGATGCTTTTTAATTCTTACTAATTATGAGCACTAACACAAAACTTCTTATCGTCAACTGTTGCAGAAAGACATAGGAGATTTGAATGGTATAGCAACGGAAGGTTAGTCCTACGACATGAGATGAACTCCAAGAGCATCGTAGGAGGAGAGATAATGTAAGTAATGATCTGAAATGATAAACTAAGATTGATGTTCTATAGGTGCAGTGTTAACAAACTACCATGTCTCACCATACTTTGTCACGTGTTGGTATCAAAAATGTTTAAGCTAAACATTATTTTGCTTCATAATACACAGGAAGATTATTTTGTTTCCGGAGAGGAACACTGAAGTTCTAAAACAGCGTTAATTTTGATTTTCTTTATTTTAAACCTGATTTTCTAAAAAACACCAAAATTATCTAAGTATACTTTCGCACTTAAATGTGCTACGTTGAAACAAATTAGTAGTAATTATATCTTGGGTTGAAAATCAGGACATTTCCCTAGTAAAAAAAAACGCATTACCCACTAACCATGGGTTTTTTTATAGGTCTTTGTCGATGACAATCAAACATTGAACTTGCAACAACAATGTGACAAGCGACCGGATTTCCATAAGCTCTTGGCAGACCACGATTTCGTTTCCTGTAAATAAAAGTCTTTAGCCAGGTATAAACGTAGGAGATATTTTGGGCTGAGAGTATATAATTGTGAGTAGACTTAGAGTAGATGTACGAAAAAAATAGATAATAAGTTGTAAATTCAGCAACAATTCGCACCTAAAGGGACAGAAATGTTTATGTCTCACTAGTCCACCAAAGCAGGCGACAAAGGAGAATTTAAGGAGCATTTTCCTTCAACTTTTTTTCTATTTTACTTAGAGAACTGACACTTTATTTCCTATATGTTCGCCTTAATTTCCATTTTCGGTTACCTGGATTCATCCACAACAAAATACATCTCAAAAAGAATAATGCCCAGAGCAGCTTGATAAATGTGGCAGCGTTGTATGGGCCATTTAGGATACCATAAACCGAACGCTTACTAAAAGTGTCTGTTGATTAGCAATTGAACTAGGGGATGTGACAAAAAAACACCCTACAAAGTAGAAAACTTAATGACACTAATACTAGTCGGAGGACAGTAAGATCATCAAGAAGCACTTACGTTCAAACGACGGCACGGGGAAAAGGCAAGTTAAAAAGGCAACGCTTCAGGGGTATCGTTCACTGACGGAGGTTGCGAGCACTTGAAGGTCAAACTGTCGCAAGATGATTGGTGCGTCACATCGACAATTCGTGAAAATTTTCATAAGCGGTCAAATCAAGACCGTTTCACATTTTAACTGAGTTCAGCCACATCATGTCTGATAACGTTCATTCTTCAAGTAACGAAGACGATGCCATCGTGATGATGCATGATATAGGACGAATCAAATGGTTCAAATGGTTGTGGACGGAATAGAAGAAGCTTTCGCTTAACAGGCTTCCATGTCTAGTAGCAGGGGATCACCAAATCCTCCAGGCAGGAACCTAGGTATGTTAACAATAAAAAGGAAAAGAAATTGGTAAATCATAATGTGATGCTGTCCTTGGTCCTTAAGAATAGGTCAAGTTGCCTCTTAAAGGACTCCTGGGAAGTCGCTTGGACTAGCTCGGCCGGCAGCAAATTCCAGCTTTTGACAACTCTTAAGGAGTAGAAGTTGTGTCTACATTCCGTCTTGCTATGTTGTGTTTCCAGTTTCTGGGTGTTACCCCTTAGGTTATTATTCGAACTAAGCTTAAGTAGGTGTTTAAGAGGATGTCCAGAAGTGTTAAGAATGCTATAAGCCATTAGTAAATCACCTCTAAGACGCCTATATTCTAGTGGGTAAAGGTCTAGTGAACGGAGGCGTTCTTCGTAAGGCTTAGACTTGAGTCCTCGAACTGATTTCGTGGCTCGCCGTTGGATACGCTCCAAAGTGACCTTGTCCTTTTGGAGTGAGGGGGGGAGTACTATGTTTCCGTACTCTAAATGGGGACGGATGAAACTATTGAAGATTGTATGGAAAGTTCTTCCGTCAAACTGGCCAAAAATGCGCTTCAACGTTACCAGTGCAAGGTTTGCTCGGAAGGCATTTTTGTCACAGTTAGCGTAAGACTTTAAGTCATGGGGCATCAGGACTCCTAAATCCTTTTCGACTTGGGATACTACTAGAGAGGAGTTTCCTAAGTTGTAACTGTAGTTTGCGACATGTCGCAGATGGACTACTTTACACTTTGAAGTGTTAAAGGTAAGTCCGTTATCGTCTGCCCAACTTTGAAGTCACGTCAGATCCTCCTGAAGTGCCTGTGTATCGACTTGGTTGCGTATCTCTCTCCAAAGTTTCACGTCGTCGGCAAAAAGTAGTAAGTCTGACGTTACCTGTTGAGGAAGATCATTTATGTAGATCAAGAAGAGAAGAGGCCCTAGTACTGAGCACTGGGGAACCCCACTAGGACATTCCATAGCCTGAGATAAAGTGAAATTAACCCTAACCTTAAAGTGTCGATTTTTTAGGTATGAAGTAAGCCAATCGATTAGAGGTGGTTTGATACCTAGTCGTTTGAGCTTGTTGATAAGACACAAGTGGTTAACCTTATCAAAAGCTTTTGAGAAATCAAGGTAAATGACGTCAACCTTTCCCTTGCAATCGAGGATGCTTGTCCATTTGTCCACCGCAGTCAGCAGGTTGGTTATACAAGAGTAACCCTTCCTGAAACCATGCTGTTGGGGTGAGAAGAAATTTAAGGACAGTAGATAGTCATTTAAACCGTCGCATATCAGGGACTCCATGAGTTTTGAAGGTAATGACAGAAGAGCCACCTGCCGATAACTTGAAGGTTCATTGCGTCGACCACCTTTGAAAATTGGTGTGATGTGAGCCAACTTCCAGTTTTCCGGTAATTTGTCTCGGCTAAGCGAGTGTGAAAACATCACGCTAAGCGGCGTTGCCAGGATTGAGGCTGCCTCCCTCAGTATGGCAGGATGAACCATATCCGGGCCAGGAGAAGTGTCAAGTCTTAAGTGCTGCAATTTCCGGAACACCAAGTCAGCGCTTAGGTCCACTTCAGAAAGTCCTGTGGAGTTGGAGATGAAACTGTCGTCAATAAAGTTGATGTCAGCCGGTTGAAATGTTTGAGAGTAATGGGCCGCCAGAAGGTTAGCGGCGTCGCCATCGTTGTTGGTTGGGCCGTTAAGACCTAGCAGTTGAGAAACTCCTGTTTTGGCTTGACGAAGAGAGGCTGCATAACGGAATAGGCTTCTAGGGTTAGAGGCGAATTTGTCCATAAGCTTTGTTTGGTACTGAAGCCTGTCTTCTCTTATAGCCTTCGTGCATGTGTTCCTGATATGTTTGTATTGCCTATACACTCCATCATTATTAGTTCGTTTGTATTCCGCCCAACAGTGCCGTTTGCGGCTTAGGAGGCGAAGGGTACGGTTCTTGATTACTGTAGGTGGCTTGAAGCTTTTGGGAACCGTTTGAGGAACTGAATGGTCTGTAGCACATAAGAGCGTGTGCAGTAAGAAGTCCCAATGACCATCCACATCGAGTTGAGGGTGAACATCCCAAACCACCTGTTGCAGATAGTCATGTAGAGCTGGCACATTCAGCCGTTTAAAATTCCAACGCAAATTATTGTTGGGATACCTTAGCTTAGTTTTGATGACAAAACTGAAGGCTATGACGGCATGATCGCTTTTTCCCAGAGGAGACAGGATTGAGAGGTTGTCGACTAGGAATTCTTCGTTAGTGAATACACAGTCTAAGCGCGATGGTGTCTGACTGTTTCTCCAACGAGTTGCCGACCTCACATTTTCATATAAGCCCAAGTCATCGATGAGGTTGAAGAACCGAGCTTCAATTGAGTTGTCGCCTCCAGTGTACGTGTGTTCCGCGAAGTTGACTCTAGGGAGATTAAAGTCCCCTAGAATCAGGATGTGTGTGAAACCGAGACGGATAGAGCGGGATAGTCCTTCCAGCATACGACTATCGTACTCGGTGTCGGCAGTTGGCTTCCTGTAAATGACTCCGACTAGACACCTGGAAGTACTAGACAATCTTACAGAGCACCATATGGATTCCTCAAGATTGTTAAACTCGAGGTTGTGAACCTGGTGCACCTCCAAGCAAGAGCTTATGTATATGGCTACTCCGCCCCCAATTCCTGTTTTTCTGTCGTTGCGGAACAAAGTCATCCCAGGCAGTGCTAACTCTTGGTCCGAGAACTGAGAAGATATCCAGGTTTCAGATATTCCTATCAGATGGGCCTTATTAGCGTTGCTAAGTTCACGTAGTTCATCCAGTTTGTTTGGTAGACTCGCGGCGTTCATATATAAGCAGTTTATGCTTTCTATTTGGAACGCGTGAGCTTCGTCCTGTTTTTCTGTATGAACCTTATGTGAATGGACAGGTAGCCCACCTATGTGAGGTTTGCCGAGGTGGTAGGCCCTGTCCTTTACACGTTTTTTTTATCGTTTAGAGAGTCCACAAGTGGAATGGTCAGCTCCAACTTGTCTTTGTTCTTGGTCCTAACTTCGTATGGCCTATCCGGGTGCATGTGGATTCCAGGTGGCAATCGACGTCTATTAGCACGAAATGCTTCCAGAACTGCAGCCGCCATGTGGGAAGATGGGAAGGTTATCTTCATTAGACGGGGTCTAAGATCACCGTCCTTCTTGGCTAGTCTCGTCACATGCTGAGTCAGTATGTGTTTGAGCCTCAAGGACTGTTTGATGAATTTCCATTCCCTGATGTCAGAATTTGATTGAGTAGGGTCTGCATTTTCCGGTATACCTTGGACAATTATGTTTCTTCCGCGGAAAAACTTCTCGCGAGATGATATTATGTTATCCCGAAGATTTACAAGTTGGGACAATTTTGAGACCTGTTTGAAAGAAGTACATAAGGTAATATGACTTCTGTGGTTAATAATTATTTTTTTGGTATACGCATACTAAGTACATAATGTCAGTATGCAAAAAGAACAGTGATTATCCAACTCGAAAGTACTTTTTCGTGAGATATATCTGTACATATGGACGTAAACGCAGTTCGTCAGAGTCAGATGCTTGCGTTTAGGATGTAGATGATGATATTAATCATTAAAAAAGGCAATCCTTTTCAAATCTGTCCGCCATTTCGTTCCAACGACCTTGAACGGCCTGACTAGAGGCGGTCATTCCGTATTTCAATTGCCGTGGGTGTGTTGGGCCGTGTGAGTATTAAGTTTTTACATATTTAAGTCATCTTATGCTACATAAAAAAGCACAAAATGACTGCTAAGAGCATTAATTTACCATTCTCTGTTTTGTAGTGTACACGTGAGCTCTGTTGTTGCTTCGTAAATTGATGTGTGATCCCAACTGCTGTAGTAAACGCCAACACCTTTATACAGTTTGTTCATAAGGTCCAGGAAAAACGTATGAAAGATAAGATAACCTTAAAAGTTTTAGATACGTGAAGTTTCGGTAAATCGCTGTTAAACAAAGAAGTTAAGATGAAATGTCAACTCAACGGTAAGCCGTAAATATTTGTTGTACTTCTTTCAGTTAG